GGAAATAAAAATATGGCTACCGAAGCCGAACATCTTCAGGGGGTACCAGCTCCGGAAGCCATAGAACAAAACCTTTTCTATTGAATTTTTTTAACTCTAAACAATTGAGAAAAACAGGGCGAAATTAAAGTCTTAACTGAGCAGCCCCAGTTAAGCATTATATTAATCTGTTTCGCAATACTTAACCTTCCCTACCATTTTTTTCTTCTACTGCGCATTTTAATTGAGGGCGTTGCTTTCTTTTATTTCAAATGTGTCTTTTACATTGAGTGTGTTTCAGAAAATTGCTGTTTGACCAGTTTAATGTGAGTTTTCGGTTTTTCATTTTTGTATTATATTTTCAAGATTATGTACGAAATTTCTCTTCTGATTAGATTTTATGTATTGCTTGTATTTTTCCAGGACTTTTGCAAACCCATCGGGGTGTTATTTCCATATATGGCAGTACTTTTACTTTCGTTACTTGTACCGCCGGTACAAGTAAAAAGTACGTACTTTTACTTGTACTTCGTTACTTTTTAAATTTAGTACTTTTAATTGTACATTCGGTACTCTTTTAGGGAAAAAGTGCAAGTATTTGTAACGGAAATGTCGAATGAAATCGTTACTTTTTTCTAAAACTCGGTAAGCTTTCTAAAAATAAGAAAAAAATTAATATTTTTTCAAAAAATGCTTATGTTTTTTTAATTTTTAAAATTAATGCGCAATATATATGCATTCACAGCTAACTTCGTGTTCAAATACCTTGACCTTTTAAAATTGTCATTCCTGAAAGGGAAAAGACGGCTGTTTTGAACTGCGAAAGGTTTCGCGATGTGAAATCGCTGGACAATTTATTGTTTGCTGCAGGTCTGGTACTTTACATCCAAATTTAATTGGTTTGAAGAAAAAGCTAGAGAGGAGGCTACAAAAAAAAATTGCTTGGGAAGAATTGTCCAAGCTGAACACCCTGCTATAACTAATAAAGTAACAGAAAAAAAACCCAGGGAATCTTAATTTTCTAAAGCTGAAAACATCATGCCAATCACCAGCGACAGAAGAATTTATGGCATACATGAGCTCAAATGTTGAAACGGAAAGCATATCAATTTTGAATCGATATCCAATCGCAAAAAAAATATATTTGAAATATAATGCTACAGTACCTTCTAGTGCTCCCGTGGAGCGCTTATTCAGCGTGGCTAAGCACGTTCTGAGAAATTCTCGCAGCAGACTCAGTGACACCACTTTCGAAATGCAATTATTTTGCAAAATGAATAAAAATATTAATTAGCAAGTTATTTTCATTCATTTTCGAGTTTTATGCATTTATTTAATACATTTTAAACAAAAAATGTTGGATTTTGTTATTACGTTTTTCAATTTTCTTTTTGAACTCACTAATAATACATTTTTGTCTTAATACATTTTTTACTAAATACATTTTTACCTAGTACATTTTTTACTAAAATTATGTTTATGCCCGACCTTGTCAAACAACGCCCAGTCAAATCTCTAAGAACTTCAGAACTATTTGTGCTATTGAAAACTATTATAATTACTATTTTAACTCTTGAAAACTCGAAGGTATTAATTTAGCCGCTGATACTAAAATTCGTTTACAAATTTTAATTATTCCGTTAGGCAGAAATGTTCGGAAAATGATTTTCTCGCATGACTTCAGCATTAGCCATTGTTACAAATAAAACTGTAGACTGTTCTGTTTCAACTTATACTGCACATTCAATTATTTTTTACTAGCTCAAAGATCACAAAGCTATCTGAAACCCCGTGTTTGCTTTGTTTATGTTTGTGCTTTTAAAACGCGTTTCTATAGAGTAAAACAATTTTAAATCAATGGTAATTTAAATAAATAAAAATAATAAACTAAAAATTAAAATCAATAGATAAAATTTCTTTTTCGTGCAAATCCATAAAAAGTTTGATATTAAAATTATATTTGATTTTAAAATTATATTATACGATTATATTATAAAATTATATTATAATATTCTTCCGAATTTAAAAATAAATTAATGTCCATAGCTTTCAAAATTAAAAATAATTAAGTAAATAACAACAATTTTGCAAAAACATTAAAGAACGTAAGAATATTATTCAGTAAAATTTTAGGTTACTTTGAATTTTCGATTTCCTAGAAATGTACTTTTGAATCATTACTTTTTTTGTTTAGTACTTGTACTTTTACTTGTACTTTTTACTCGTTCCTTTTTAAAATAAGAACTTTTTACTTTTTACTCGTTACTTTTTTTAAAAATACTTGTACTTTTGCTCGTTACTTTTTAAAAGTAACGTTGCCATGTATGGTCACCATAGATGGCGCCACTGGAAAAAAAGAACAATCTCACCCCCAGTGCCTTAATGGCTTACAAGAACAACAAGAAATCCATGGTGATATTTCCATTTTAAAATGACTCCCTTTAACGTTGTATTTTGCTTTTACCAAAGTAATACTCAATTCAATGTGGGAAAAAATATTTATTTAAAGCACTGATCACATTGTTGAAAGTGATACTTTCTTGGAACAGATAACAGATATTTTCTTCGATTATATCGACAAAACGTTACATATATTCATCAATATTAGTTCATGGAATATCTCTTGTACCACATGGCAATGTGATCACCTTCGGATAGAGTTATTTTTTCTGGCCCTGAAAAAAAAACGATAATATTAATTTAATTCCAAGAAATCAATTGTAATAAATGTTAATTTTGCGTATTAAATAAATTTTTTCTCCAATCCATTTATTATGATAATTGAATAACTGTAAAGTAGAAAAAGATTTCAAAAAATTTTTTTCTGGCAGAATTTTCTCACCATCAGAAATTTTTTTGATGGTGCATTTATCAATTTTATGGAAAAAAAATTTCAATTTCATAATTAAATAGAGAAAGACAGAAAGTCAATGTTCTAGCTGCAGAGGAAAAGCGAGCTTTACTTTTGAACCTAAATTCATTCTGCTACCAATTGCTTAAAATTTTTCGTTGATAGCAGCACAATATTAAACCTTTCATTGTTTTAAATTATCTGCTCACCATGAAAAATATTGTGTGCTCATAAGCTGATTTTATTTTATTTTATAACCGTCGTCGAACATTTGGCCCAATTTTTTGAGCTTACGACTACTAATGTTCAACTCCATAGCCTTGTAAGCTTGATCCAGAAGACAAGGGAACTTTTGGATCAAGTATTAGGAGAAATTTGGCTACGTGGAGAACATTTTGATGGAACTAACCCGCATTTGCGTTACATGGAGAGGAAAACTACGAAAATCTCCCACGGATAGCCTTTAGGCAAGGAGACTTTACTGAGGATATTTTACATCAGCACTGTGATCGGTGCAAGCGGATGCAGGTGGTTAAAACATAGACGAAGCTTAACCAAACATTTATGAATAGCTAATACCATTTCACAACGCTTACTAGATTATGCCATAGTATTCAATATTTTAATTCTAGAAAAATAATCCGGCCTTTTAAAAAGATACTGGTCATAAATCGGTTAATCTGGGTAATTGAATTAACATCGGATGCATGTGAACAAGTATTTGTAGCAATTCGGTATTATTACCTTCTTCCTCTTGCTCAAAAGCATTTCCTGCTGCTGCTTTTTTCTTATAAAATAACCAAAACTTTCCATCCTCCGGATTATTTTGAATGTCGGCCAGTTCATAAATATCCAATTCTCCAGATACTGTTTCGTATTTAAATCTAAAAGGAAATAAACGAATGGAATTATTTTTAATGCACTGAATAGTTTAGGAGACAGACGATTTTTAATAAAAAATATTTAATTGCCTTATTTGGAAAATAAATGTATTAGTATTTTTGATTGTTTGAATATTGTCTGCACCTTTTATCAGAAAACAAATTACAATATGTTTGATTACAATGTAGTTATTTATTCTACGACATCGTGATGCATATTGGATCTCACATGCTATTACATCTGTTCTTTAAGAAGCCCGTTACTTCTTATGGTATTTTACAGCATAATAGTCAAACTTTCAATCGTTTTCTACCTATTATTTATTTCTAAATAGTTCTGAATAAAAACAAACTAAAAAGTTCTTTTTCTTTTGTAAAGAAGTGGCAAGATCTCATATATTATTAAATCTGTTCTTTAAACAGCCCTTTGCTTTTTAAGAAAGGTATTTTACAAAATAATAGTTAAACTTCCAATCGTTTGCTACCCATAATCTATTCTGGAGAAGGCTAAACTCCATCCCAAGTTATCGTGCCAATGATGACGATGATTTCTGGTACAATAAACAAAAGAATTATTTATTCGAAGTCCAATTTCAGGGTTGTCAACTACTGTGAATTCGGCAAAGAGATTTTGTTTTGTGGTATAAATTTAAAAACTAAAACATACTTGAATTTGGTTACTTTTATCAACCGCCGTGATATCTGGAATTTTTCGCGATCCTCCGTGTTGTGATCTATCCTCGGTGTGGTGTAGGTGAGATATCTATCATCTTATCTTTTTCTTATCTTTTTCTTTCTCTGAGTTATCCATTAAATTTCAGTAAGCCTAAAAACTAATTGAGTCACGATGGTTCTGTAGTTATGGCAATGAACTGTCATAGTGAGGAACTCAGGTTCAATTCCCTGTGGCGGATTGATGTCCAGTCAGCTACAGATCGATGGCTACCAACCAGCTAGGGAAGTAAAAGTATACCGTTGTCTGAAACATGACGTTGGTAAAGCAATTCCGGAGCCTTCAATTCCATGTTCCCCCTGGCCTACAACCAACTGTAGCGGGAAGGATTTACTAAGAATAAAAAAACCTTTTTATAGTTTGATAATTTAAGCCATTGGCATGGGATTTCGGTAGGTTTGCTACATGAGTTGCTGAGAAGCTGATACAGACAAGTCTTTCTTTAACCTACTATGGATTAATAAATGCATGAATAAATAGATAGAAAAGTAAATAGATAATATAATACATAAATAAATATATAGATAATAAAATTAAATTAAATTAAATTAAATTAAATTAAATTAAATTAAATTAAATTAAATTAAATTAAATTAAATTAAATTTAAAATGAATAAAAAATTGTATAGTACAGAACGGGGACTAAAATGCTATGCTGAAAACTGAATTACTTATAAACACAAAAAAATTCGTACTTGTATTTTTTGTCTTTGAGTGCAGCAAACTTCATCACATCAAACGCTGTGAAGTATTTTGGTACTTTGAGTATTATTGTGTGAATCACATCTTTGTTGCCTCCTATAAACAATGAGTACTGGACTTGAATCTTCGGTCCCAAGTAATCATGTACCTCCGCCACAAGATCATCTGTAGAATGTAATAGAAAATGTAACGTGATCTTTAATCTGAATATCATGTAAAATTGAAGTGAAGATTTAATTTTTGAAATGCACTGAATAACTTTTGGGCTACTTTTTCGATTTTAACTAGGAAGGAACTCCTAGTGTTGCTTTTTAATCATGGTTTAGAAATTACTCCCAAACATGAAATGGATGTACGTGCAAGTCATGGATTATTTTAACCGTTATTTTTATCTCCCGATACAGGTAGTGGTTTAGGCTTTTCATACTAAACTCCGCACCTTGTAAATATGAAACCAATCCTGATGATAAAGAAAAACGTGAGACACAATCAATCTTGGCGGAGAATTTCAAGTGAAAAAAAATCAACATTTGTTCCGCATGGTGTAAAAAACCAATATAACCTTCGATTTCTAGAATAACGACAAACCCCAGCATCGGAGCCGCAATGACTCATGGGATAGCGAGTTCACCTTCCAATGAGGCGAACTGGGTTCAAATCCCAGTCGATACGAATTCCGCATCCGTCTTGCACCGACCAAAGTGCTGACATGAAGTATCCTCAGTGGTAGACGGATCATGAGTTAGAGTCCCCTTGCCGTCAGGCTAACCGTGGGAGGTTCTCGTGGTCTTCCTCTCCCTCTAACGCAAATGCGGGCTAGTTCCATCAGAAAGTCCTTCACGATGGCAAATTTCTCCCAATACTCGATGAAAAAGTTCCCTTGTCATTTGGATTGGGCTCAAAATTACAAGGTTACGGAGTTGAGCATTGGTAATCGTAAACCCATAAAACTGGATCGGCTGCTCAAAGACGGTTATAAAAAAAAAAAAAAAAAACCCAGCATCGACTGGTAGATGCGAATTTCGCATCCGGCTAGTACTAACCACAGTGTTGACGCAAAATCTCCTCAGTGGTAGGTGGATCATGGGTTAGAGTCCTCTTGCAGTCAGGCTAACCATGGGAGACTTTCATGGTTTTCTACTCCATGGAATGCAAAATTCGGGTTAGTTCTATCAAAAAGGCAAATTGTTCTCAGATCCAGAAGCTCCTTTGTCTTCTGGATTGGGTTCAAAAGCGCAAGGATACGGAGTTGAACATTAGTAGTCGTATAACCAAAAAATTGGGGTAACTGTTCAAGAACGGTTATAAAATGATATATAATCTTAACACTAAAATTTGGGACAACTACTTTACACCAAAGTGATGTGCCAGGAGCATGGATAGATCCTGGTGTAATGAAATATTAGCATTGTTTTTTTATATTTTGTGTAACGTAATTTCCACCATTTTTGTTATTTTGCAACACTAAAATTTATAATTGCACACAAATATACAAAATCGTCCGGGAAGTTATTTTTACTACACAATAGGAAGAAAAATGCATTATCTTTGGATGCATGTATACAATATTTGATAGTTTTCGATTAGTCGGAAGCAAGCAAAGAGTAGACAAAAAATATAGACACTCGCCTACTAATTTTTTTAAAATTCTTTAAGCACGTAGAAATTTAAAAATAATAAAATAAACAAAAATTATGACATCCTTGTGCTCTGTTGACCGAAAGGTACCCAATATTTCTTAAAATAATAATAGTTTGTTAATCAAACATACACACCACACAATGAGAATATTGATATAAACTCAAACAAGGGTTAACAAAACTGAAGCAGAGAGAAATTAAATTATTTCATACACTTAACATATTTATGTGCATCCTCTTATTAGAAATTAATTATCTTCTTTATATAATTAAATAAATAGATATATTTTCATAACAATTTACATCTGTTCGGCATCGTGCGAGACAAAATCCAATTATTACTCTATCTGCTCGATTGTAATAAAAAGCATCGATAACCTGACTGTTTCCAAATTTACGCCAAGATTGGCGGAAAAAAAATTCTTGAATGGAGTAAAAGCATCTTAGCGTGGTGTATGTCTTATCATTTATTGGAGTTAATGAAGTTCTTATATAATAACATTTTTCAAGTTTTGTGTGAATGCTAGATTCGGTATTCACTTGAAATAGACACTCAATTTTCATAGTTTTTCTACACCTAATAGGGATAGATATAACACCACAGTTTCTATAACAGGGGTTTCCAACTTACATGAGGCCGGGGGCCACAATTAAAAACGCAAATCAAATGGTGGGCCGCAACTTTATCAAAATTTTATGTAGGACTCTTTTATGTTTGAAGGAACATTAAATATTACTGTCAGATTTTTACCAAGTTGTACAAAACAAAAGTATTGAATTACAAATTAAAATAAGAAGTAGATTTTTAAAAATATTTAATTGCATATTAAAAAATTCGGGCTACAATAACTTTAATGTGCACCCATGTATTAAACAATTAATGTGCAACAGATATCTAATTGTTAAGATATAAAACTTTAAAAAGGTTGGTATTAAAACTTACATAGTAGCACACAAAATGTTCAATGACAAAATTGAGGTTTGTCTGCTGCAACCACCAGAGAATAGATATTTACATTTTAAATTTAAAATTTACAAATGTGTGTGTAAATATTTTCGTCCAAAATGAGTGGTTTCAAAAAGTTAAATCGGAGAATTTCTTCGAGAAAATTTCTGATACACACATGCTAAATTATATTCACAAAATACAAAAAAATGAAATAAAAAAGAGCAACATACACGATTATTTTTGTATTTGAATAAATATTTTCTTGGATGCAAAACCTGAGAAATAAATTTTTTTGCACCGTTGGTATGTTAAATTTCACAGAAACGAAGAAATTAGGTTTTTATTAACGAGAAAAGTATTTTAAACCCATAAAAGATTTTTTACGAAAATTTTCCGCAAAAAAAATTACAACTAATATATTTTAGTTCGTGGGCCACAAAAAAGGGCTTCGCGGGCCGGATGCGGCCCCCGGGCCGCCAGTTGGAAACCGCTGTTCTGTAATATAGAGTTCTTTTAAACTTTTAACATATAACTATTGCTACAACTTAATAACTATTTCTAACATGTTTTTTCTAAACTATAACTATTTCCAATATATTGTTTTCTAAACTGTAACTATTTACAACGTATTGTTTTCAAAACTGTTTTCAAAATTGCTTTCAAAACTGGTATTTCCAATATACTGTTTTCTAAACTATAACTATTTCCAACATATTATTTTCCAAACTATAAAGAATTCCAATACATTATTTTCTAAATTATAATACCTGTTTTAAACATATTGTTCTCTAAATTATAATACATGTTTTGAACATATTGTTTTTTAAACTATAACTTTTCCCAAAATATTGTTTTCTAAACTATAACTGTACCGCAGTGGACTGATCGTAAGGACACGGTTCCCAGTAGAAGTCAAGCATCACTGGTTGCGATCAGTAAGCGGGTGGGTGACCACTTCGATCAGCCTGTATAGGGACTTAGGGTGTGCGGTATCGGCCCTCATTAAACTGTTCTACCGTAAAGTGCTCGACTTTGCGGGCTGGTTGTCGGGCTACCAAAGCAAAGATGCCATCCCCTCTGCCGAGGATTAAAATTGCGATGGCATGTCTTCGGATCATCCTCAGAGATGTTTCCCAGACCGTCGCCAATAGCCCATTGTGCAATTCCAGTGCAGCGTAAATGAATTACAGCAACAAAATCAAACTATAAATATTTCCAATATATTGTTTTCTAAACTGTAACTATTTCCAACGTATTGTTTTCTAAATTATACATACTGTTTTCTAAGGTATCAAATTTCTAGCGATGTCAGCAATCTATGTTTTGGATAAGATTTTCAACTACCTTTCAACATGAAATACACATTCAAAAAAAGATGTTGCAAAATAATTATAGTTTAAATGTTGGGTGAAGGCTATGCGAGGGTAAAATTGCTTACCTTGGTCTCTTGATGCTGAGCAATTGGTGAAAGCAATGTCGACCAGGGTTTTGTCGTTCAGCAGTGGAAGGATCAAGTATGTCGACAGAACGTCAGTTGGTGGAACTTTCATGGATTTTAAGAGAAATCGAAAAGCTTTCATGTGATCCCAGCCATCATCGAAACCATTGATGGCGACGCTTGACAATAACGCCTGGAACATTCGAAAGTTTTTAATTTAGTTTTAAGTTTATATAAATGTTCAAACTTTAATTGTTAACATAATAGGCAAAATTATATCCGGGATGTCTCCCAGACCGTCGCCAATAGCCCATTGTGCAGCTCTAGTGCGACGTAAATTAACAACCAACCAACCAACCAAACAAAATTATAATTTTAAAAAAAAAGAAAATCGAAAAGAAGATCGCAGATGATCCCCACACATGTGACTCATGACGTCAGCTTCAGCTGATCGTTAATAAGTAAAATGGCGTGTGAAAATTCAGCTACGTTTCTCCACACACGTTAGAATGTTAATTAACGTGAAGGTAATTAAATACAGCTCCGTATCTGACATCAAATTTGTTAAAATATAATTCTTTTTCAGATTTTTCATTTGTTTAATTATTTTACTTTAACCGTGACATATTTTTGTTTTATCTACCGTAATTAGTTTGTTTATGCTCTACATAGCCTCATGCCTGCCTCTGTGTTCAGTCAGAATTATATAGTGAAAGGAACGAAATCTTTTTGAAATAATCTTTTTCAAGGATTATAGAATATATCATTAAAGAGAATTGATACTTGATGGGCTTGGCTTACTCGTAATAGAATGGAAAGAACACTTGCTAATGTGAACAAATGCCACGTTTCAACAACCAATCTGGATCGATATACCCACACTACGTCACTTGCAGGTATCCCATTAGATAACTGCAAATAACGTCATCGAATGTAAATAATGGCATTTGTCGTTTCAGAAGCCAATCGGGTTCGACACACACGCTTGACGTCACTTACTGGTATCCGATTAAATTTAATTTAAATCACATAGTTAGTCAAAATCACTTCCCTTCATCTCGAGTTGCAAGTACCAAATTACCAACCAAATATCAGGTAAAAATTTTAAAAAATGCTAATCATTACGTAAAAACAATATTATAACTAATGCTTCGCACTGAAATGGTTAAAATTAATTTGTGTAATTTTTGCAAGTAATAAATTAAAATCATTGTCATTTTTGTACAAGCTCACCAGTGAAGCATTCTCTTGAATTTGTTAACATTAACACCAACATTAATAGACGAATATAATAATTTAGGTCATAAAATAAAAAAAAGTTTTGAAAGAACTTAACATAACATCTAAGTAAACATAAAACTAAATGGGTATTATTGAAATAAAGTACTAGCAGTCTATTAAAATTATATCTGTTTTGAGAACATTTGATTTCACGAAGGCACCAGATTTTTTTAAAACGAAGATAAATTTTTAGTCCAATAAAAACTAATAGATTTCAGCATTTATATCTTATTTTTAACGAATTTACATTTTTGTCTTTTTAATTTAACACAAGCTACAGTTTTTATTTTAAATTTTCAAAAGGATTTGAAAAATTAGCATATTTGTTTGATTTGCAAAATTTAAAATTAAAAATTTTGTGTGGTTGAAAATATATAAAATTTTTGTAACTTTAAATATCGCATTTTCTTTGTTGTAAAATTCATTTTAAAATATCAAACACTTTTCTTACAAGATATATTTACCTAATTGAATGAGACACAATCATAGACATTTAACGTTATTAGATATTCCGTATTTATTTTTAATTCGAATACATTTTCATTTGGCTTCCTGTAAACTCCCTGCTTCATAATTTTTTTCACTTTCACTCTTTAAGGATTAACACCAGTAGCTTTGTTTCTTTTATTCGTAGTGACACACAATGAAACTTATTTATAAGTTTTAAAAATTTTTTAAAAAAAAAGAAAAAAAAAGCAAAGATGTTAACTATTTTTAACAGAAACCCTACAAAAATTTGATTCCACTAGACTGCGAAGATTGGTTGTGGCATGTTATGATATTGTAGTGATTCGTTCTTAACAGACTTCCTTTTAAGAGCTTCCACTAATGTTTTCCACAACTTTATAATCAAGTTATTTCACTAGCGTTGGCCAAATAGTAATTTATTTTACATGAAGCTAACGGAAAATTATATTTTAAAGCTTCATGTTACTTTTGTTCATGTTTAATATTTAAAAAAAAACTTCTTCTTTAAACACCAAATAGCAATTTAGTTACATTTTTCTCTTGATAAAGCATTCAAAATGATAAAAATCCTACTTTGAAAGAATATTACTGATAATTAAGTTATCTTATGCTCTTAAAAGTATATTTGTGATTTATGTCAAATAATTTTGATTAACATCAATGATTTTTTAAAAAAAAGACTACTTGAAACAAATCAATGTTTCGTTTAAAAAAAATCAAGTTTTTTTAAATCAAGACTTAATTAAAATCACACGATTATTGACATCTCCTGATTTAAATTAAACGATTTTAATCCTGTCAACTTTAGTTATTAATAAACTTTAATACAGTTAAAATTTCTGAAAATAAATTATAAAATATTGGCTTAAATAGTGCTTGAGGTCGAGCAAGAACCTTGTATTGACCACAAAAAAGAAAATTAAGCGTATCTAAATAAGTTCACGATTTTCTGAAGAAGTTGTGACGGAAATTCACATTTTTACAAAACAATACACAAACCTGAGTCATAACAGCTGTTCTCTGGACATTTCCAAAACTACCACGTTCACTTTGTAGACTCATCAACCTAAGAACGGTTTCTTTATAAGCTCTTGAAAGCTCTATTCCGTTTGGAATTGAATCGCTACCACCTAGTCGAAGTTCGCAAGAAAGAGCCATCACGGCAAATGCTTGGTAATCTGAAGGAAAAAAATAATGTATGGAATTTGCAAGACTTATTTGCTGCTTTGATGTAACTAATCCAGCATATAAAATACTTCGTTAGCTGTACTCTATTTGCGCAGTTTTGAAAGCATTTAGAGGGTGTTGAGCTGCCAGGATGTCTGGTAGAAAAAATTTTTTAAAAAAAAA